ATGATAAACATTTTGGCCTGAATCTCTTAAATACATGGCCTGTAATAATAATGGCCTGAAACTCTTAAATGTATTCTGCAGGTGTTTAATAAGTCTAAAATCATAATATCTATAGACTACTCACTGATTTGAAGTAGACATGTTTATTTCTTCTACTGAATTTATAGCTATAGTAGAAAAATTAATCAGTACCTATTTACAGTATTGTGAAGATCAGTACAAATTGCTTATGTTGCTTGGTGAGACTAAGTTCTTTCAATTAATGTCCAACTTAGTGCCTCAAAGAGAAGTAATTTAGTTTATTAGCTGCAGAGATAATTTAAGAGATCTTAAAAATTAATAGAAAAGAGACAAGCTTAATCCTCTGAGTCTGCATGCTGCAGGGGAGGTAAACAGTTGAAATTTCTGAGTTGTCTTGAACCTGAAGATGGGAGCATTGCTATTATTTATTTGCAGAAGCTAGAAACAATCTTTCCACTTTTGCAATGAAAATCACAGCCACAGGCTTTAGTCATTCAAAGGAAAAGAAAATGAATTCTTTATTCCATTATTCAGCACTGTGTGTAATTTATACAACAAGAGGTTTTGATGGATGTTTTTCAAGTTTTCCTTTGTTATGGAATTGATAGTGGGTGAGGGGATCCTGTCCTTAGGCTGTGTTATAATCTTTCCACAGCCACACAAATACAGCAAGCCTAGGGTTTTTTCCCTCCTTTGTATTTTTTTTTCCTTTACAAATAAATGAATAAAGCAATTACCCCTTACATTTTGTCTTCAATATTTACTTTTGTGCATTGAGGACTTCAATTTGGTTTAAAGTAAAATTAACTGCATCTATGGAAATTGGGAGTGTAAATGTTCTCTCATTGTTTACACTGAGAATATAGCAGATTGTGAAGTTATTTCTATGGATTTATTGCCTTCTTTGTTTCTAAGTTGTTATAATTTCTATAATTATAGAATATTCTATATCTACGTATTATATAATATAGAATTATATATATTACATATATAATATATTCTATATATTTCATCAAACACAGACCAAGTATCTTGTAAGGAATGTGTGGATGTATGACTTCCATCATTGTGTCTAGACATAGACAATTTACCAAAATATTCTGTGTATTTACTGTTACACCAGTTAGTGTACAATGTGTAGTGAACAGCCTACCTGCTGCCAGGGAAATTTTTAATCTGGAAAAATTTTAGTAGTCCTCTTTATCAGAGAGGGTAAAAGAAAGGTCCAGGAATTAGCTGATTCAAGATGATTTCCAGGATTTAGTTTGATCCATTTTTAAATGTCTCATGGAGGGAAGTTTCTGTCATGTGTTTCAGTGAAGATATTTTCAAAAATCAGTAGTTGAACGATTTTGATTTTATGTCTCTGATTGCCCTGAACAGTCTCAATCAGTTTTCCAACCCCACCAAACATTCTGAAGAGTACTTTTGTGTAAATTAATTACAGAAACAAATTACTAGAATTTCTCTAAAGCAAACAGAATCAGATTTTGTGCTCTTTAATAACTGAGACTTTTAAAATACATTATTACATGCTTTTGCTTTTTCTTTTTAATATTAAAAAAACCCCAACAAAACAATTAAACTGAGAGCTTTGGTCAGTTTGCCCACAATGAGAGAAGACAGAAGCAATGAACCCTTCCTACTGAACAGAGAAATCCCTTCTCCAATTACTCTATGCTTGCATGCAAAATGAAGCACCAAAAATAATATGCTTTAAAGAAATGCTAGAATTGCAGGTATATGTATATATATACATCTATAACTGATTATGGTTTTCACTTCATTAGATATACAAATAGGCTGATAACTGTGTGCTGCCAAACATCAAAAAGCACAATGGATAAGAGAACAGCAGTTTGTATCTTTAGGTATTCTCCTAATCTAGCTGCTTTACGAATGGATTTTCCTTTATTTCAGACCTAGTTTTACTGGTCCAATACTTAAACTCAGTCCTGTTCCCTCTAGACAGATAATCTGTTCACAGCACTTGAGCTCTCCCAGCATATTATCATGTTGCATTTTGTGTTCAAGACAATCATCTACCAAGGACAATTTAACAACTCTTACGAATTTATTTGAAATGATAAATTTCATTTGCAGAGGAAAATATTTTGCTGTTGCTCCGATTTCCTAAAGTTGTCTTCATGACAAAGTCAGCTTGTCCTTAGAAAAGACTAAAATGTCTGCAGAGGTTTAAAATGGGTACTTTCATGTCCAAGATTTTTCAGTTAGATTTACATGTTGGGTTTATATTTCTGTTCACGGTGCTAATATGGCTAAGAAAAAAGCTGCAGCAAACCACAATCCAGACACAAGGCAGTACGTTGTTTTGTGAAGCACTAATAAATTAATCCATTAGTTACTGCAAATTTATTTTCTCTTTTCCTCTTTATTGAGTATTCACAGGTGTGTATGTATTTAGGCAGTATAAATTAAAAGGGCTTTAATACTAGCAACACATTACCATAGTGCAAGGACCATAAGGCACATTATTTTTCCCACATTGACATGAAAATGGAGAGATACTGATAAAATAAAAAATAAAAGTGAATAATCTTCCTATCTGAGAAATATATTGGTTTCTAAGAACATAGCAATACCAGACAGAAAGAAGAAACCACAACAGAAGTAAAATAGAGCCGCATTATTTGGTTAATGACCCCATCTTGTGGAGCAGCGCCCACGCTTCAGCACATTTATAGCTCTCACATGCATTTTTTTACCAGAGTCCATTTCTTGATGGTGAATTACTTGGCAGTGCACTTGCTGTGTCCAGGGAAGTGCTCTGCAGGCAGTGCATCAGTCGTGCACCACGGCTGTACAGCAGTCCTTTGTCACACCGTGCATTGCCAGGGTCAGGACGTCACATTTTGGTGTTTGCTTCAGTCTCAGGTCACCACCACAGCTCACATCCACCCACCCCAACCCTGCCGGATATTTCCTGCTGCCCTGTGTCTCTCACATGGACCTGCTGGGAGAGTTCCTTGCTGTTGTTTATGGGGGGACAAACCCATCTCCAAAGCTGGAGCTTGCTCACCAAGGGCCAGCCCAGTGACGGTCATAGCCAGTGCCAACAGGTGCTGCGTCTGCCAGAGTCACCATTCCTTTGTTTTCTGTTCCCAAGGAGCTTGTTGATCTGCACTTAATGATTGGCAGCTTGCATATTCTATTGTAAAGGTTTATCCTTCTGGACATACTTTTATCGTAATCTGGGGAAATCAGCTTTGTCAGCAATATATCTTTTGCTGGTTGCTGACGTTGTTTTCCAGGCACATGAGATATTTAAAATAAATCACCTGACATGTTTCCACCCTCTCCAGCTGAACATGTTTTCCAGGAAGGCTCCATATATCCTTGATTCTCACTTATGTGTAAGCCTCTCGAACATGAATTGAAACGCTTTTTTTTTCATTTTTTTAAAGGAAAGGTATATTTTATATCCACTTTTTGAGGAAGTGGTTTTTAACCATGTTGGCCAACTCAAAGGGAGAATTGCAGGCTGCAAATGGAAAACGTAGAGAAGATGTATAGCCAAGTTAGGAAAGAAGGATAATTTTTTTTTTTCCAGCTGTTCCACATAGACTTAAAAAGAGGATGCTACATGATCCTCCATGTGTCAATATCCTTAGTTCCTTGGAGAACACATTATGATGCTTTGATCTCTGCTGTAGTTTTTTAAAGTAAGGATTTTTCAACTGCATTTTGATCTGATTTACAGAAGAATGCAAAGGTGTGAATTGCACATAGATAACATTTGCAGGTTTCACAGGTGCAGAAAATTAGACAGGGAAAAAAGCTACAGATCTCTGTAAATATAGTATGATTGATGCACTTTTGATATATCTGATCTCATGCTTTCATAAAAATTACATTCTTATAAAAATTTACATTTCTGTCAAACGTACAAGGGATGTTTGTACCTGATATTTGTATTTGAATCCCAGAATACAGCTTAGAAGATCATTTTGTGGAAAACACATATATATGTATGATTTTGAGTTATGTATTTTCAAAAGGGAGGATTCATTTGTCACTAGACTTGCATAATGTGCCTCCCCTAACACCATGCTAATAAGGTATTTATACAATATACCATCATCTTGTGTTCTTTGCTTTTGAAGTGCATATTGTGCCCTCTGCATGGAAATAAAATACTGAGTTTAGCATAGATTTGTATGCTAAGTGAGCTGAGCAAGCTGATGCTCAGTGCCTTCTCCTGGGTGGATTGAAAGGGTGCAAAAGGTGAAGAATTTCCAGCATTTTCAACAGAAACTCAAATATTCCATGATCTCATCACAGGTACCAGAGCTGGCAGTGAAATGAAGTGTTTAAACTAACTGTTGGGTTATGGAAAATCTTTTAGCTTTGCTGTGTTGTTCTTGGAGAACTCTAATTCATCATGGATATAAAGGGCCCTGAAATGTTTAGAAGTCCATGTGGTAATTCAGTCAATATTCTAAAAGCATTAAAATTTTTGCTTTACTTTGAGATGTCTTGAAATTATTGCATCTTGTCTGTCTGATGGCCAAGTTGGGAACGTGGCTTCTCTTTCTTGCTGAGCTGTGGTGAGAGATGCCAAACTCAGCGAAAGCCTTCCATTCATCTGAGAGAACGAGAAGAGAAAATGAAAGAACCTTGTCTAACTAGGAACAGTGGTTAGCATGTTGAGAGAGGAGTATCAGGAAATGAAACCCCTTTAGGTAGCTGGCTTGAACATAAAGTCAAATATAAAGGCGTTCTTGTCCTTCCCCAAATACACGTCCCTGCGTCTGACGGCTGAGTGCCCGAAATTCCCACCTTAGGATTGCCTTTGGGGCAGGGTTGTGCCTTTGGTTTGGACCTGTACCCACACAGTGGGCCCTGACCCCACACTGCTCTGCAGCACTGCTGTATCAAGGTTAATTTATACTTCACTCTGTTTCTAACATTTCTGTCTCTTTTCTCTTTTTTTCTTTTACATGCTTTCATGAGTATAGCAGACCATTTAGGAATTGAATTCATGGGTAAGTTTTAACTTCTCTTCCTTTCACTTGCTCATATTTATCTTGGTTCCTTAGTCCAAAGAACATGGAAGTTAATGGGAAGACTCTCATGACCTCCACCACTGGGTTTAATTTGGTTCCTTTTATACTTACTGATTACATTTGAAATTATATGAAGGTTTAATTTTTCTCTTGTCCACTTCTACGGAGCTTAAAACCTACATAATGATGTGTTAGTATTTCATTGGTATTTAATGAAACATAACATAAAGGTTATGTGACCATATCATCTTGAGGAATAGTATTTTATATGTGATTTTAGGGTAGAGTTACTAACTTTCTCATGTAAAGGAAAGCAAGGTTTAAATCAGATTTTTTTTTTTCTTTTGTTAAGAATTTGTTGTTAATTACAATATTAAATTTAACTAGGCTTAATAAGAAACATCTTACTAAGGATAATTCTTTCAAAACAGAGAAATAATTTTAAGAAAAGCGTCAAAGATCCATCATTCTATGAGAAAAGTTAAATCGGGTAGGAAAAAGCTGAAAAAGGAGTGAATAATTGCTTCTTACAACTTTGGAAAGGAAAAGATGATGTTCTACTGGCTCAGCTGCAGCTCTGTGTCTGTAGCCTCATGGAATGACAGGCTTAACAGATCACCTCTCAGTTGGTGATCTTCAGACTTGAGGAGATCCATCCCTAACAGAGTTAGTGGTCCTTTGTGTAAGAACAGCTTGCACAAACCATTAAATATGACTGAAAACACTACAATAAAAAGCATGCAAATTCCTATTGAAGTTCCAAAACAGTTACTTTTAATGTGCTCTTTCCCTATGTTAAGTTGTATTCGATTTTTTTAGATTTTAAAAGTAAGGGCTTTATAACCTATCAATTTTAAGTGACAGCATGGGGATTTTGTTGATCAGTTAAGTATAAATTGTCAAGAAACCAATATGGTGATTAATATTAACTGCATGGCAGGCTGCAGTAACGAGAGAATAGTCAGCAGCTTCAGGGATTTTCTGCTTTTGGATTTGTGCCATACCTAGAGCACTGTTCTCTCTAGAGAATTGGTTCATGAGGTCCAGAAGTTTTGTGTTTCACTTCACTTTGTATGAGGCTTGAAAAGCGCCAGAGGAATCAATGCAAATGTCTTCACGGACTTAGTGGACAAGCAAAGCTGGGAAATGGTTACTTGAAAAGCTCTGTGTATATCCTGCTTTTCCTGCTTAACCTAAATTGTGAGCAGCAGTCTTGAGGCATACAAGTTGAAGGACAAGCATATAGGTAAAAGAGGATAAGGAGTATAGATATATGGGATGCTTTGAGTGAACCTTTCTGTAGAAGCAGGAAAGTGTTACCCAAGAGGCAAAGCTGAATTATTTTAATTTTATATTGAGACTTTCAGTTTCCTCTTTTTTTTTTTTTAAATGCATCTCTTTAAGTCATGAACTAAAGCCAGTCCCTGAAATCTTGGCTCAGAGTAGTCCACTCATATGAGTAGCTCTCAGATTTTTTTGTTTTATATTGGAACAGATCCTGATGGCATAAAAATTAATGAAATCTTGTGTCTCGAGCCTGAAAATATTATGACAGCAGCCTAAAATGAGGTTTGAAGTTGTTTCCTGTGGGCTAGAAAAATGCAAGTTCTGGAATTGTATGCAAAAGTGAAATGCTTGTTCTTCTTAAATCCTCCTCTAGTCGTCATGAAGATTTGCTTAGGAAATGTAAGCATGCATGGGATCACTGCTGTACACGTAGAAAAGTAGAAATCCCCACCCTGTGCACAGACATTTCAGGTGAAAATATGCTCATCAAATTCGGAACACTCTTGTAAAACCTCTACAATGAGTTTACTTCTGTACTGTAGAAAATAATGGCAATTATTGCAAAGAGTGTTTTCTAGCTTGAGAAAACAACAATGCAGAGATGGTGCTGAGCTTAGCTTTGATTGTACATAATCCGTAGAACACTCTTTCTAATGTTTTCATTGCATTTGTGGCCTCAGTTGCCTTAGAAATTCCATTTTCATCATTGCCTTCCATAAATTTTGTTTGAAAACCATGTAAACCATGTAACTTGGATTACCAGGGCAACTTGGATTACCAGGGCAACTTGAATTCCTTCCATGGTAGACAAAGCTAAAAGCTCATGTCAGTGGGACCATCTGTCGTATGTCCAAGGGGACAGATGAAATGTGCACTGAAGCCACACACCTGCTTTTGTGTACATTTGCCAAGACAGGTAGATAAGTGTAGTCATTTCCTTTTATTTTTTCTTGCTAGACACTCAGGGATCAATGAAGTGTATATACATAGCCAGTCCTTTTGCTGTCCTCTTAGGGAACATGAATTTGTGTATCCTGTTGTGAAGCAGTTGGTGCTGTTTTCCCCCACAAGCTCCTGTGCCAGCCCATTCCAGTGCTCAGTAGAGACAGTGTCTGTTGCTTTTCCATTACCTGTTGAAATCTCCTTCCTGCTGGAGCTTTCTCTCACAAACAGTACTTTGGGCACGAGAATTATGCATTCAGTTTATGTACCACAGTGAATTTTGTGTTAAAATTGTCTCAAATCCCTTTTCCCTATCTGGCTGTTGTCAGGTTTGTGTTCCATGCAATATTCAATATTGTGCATTCAAAAACTTGACCACCTGTTACTTTAATCTTGCTGCTGATATTGATTTACTCTGTTTCTTTGTATGGATAGCAGAGACAAAGGCAGGTATATTGATGTGGCACGTCTGTTTTAAAATGTTGCAAATGTAGCAATTAATTTATGGTTCTGATGTATTCATGTGCAGCACCTTCTGAATTAAATGAAAGCCAAGTATGTGTCAAGGAACACTGTGTCCTTAAAGTTGTGGATTGAAGCATTGTCATCAGTGGTCCAGCTTTATGAAACTTCTGGTGATAAGGAAATGGTTTATACTTTCTAGTATATCAATGCATAAAAAAAAAAAAGGTCTTGTGTCTTGATTCAATATTCAATATCCATCTCTGATGCAATCTCCCGGACAGGCTTTGGGCAAGGTCTTTTAATCTGTCTGTGCTTCAGATTCTGAATTTAGGTTCCTCAGCTCTGTGGGGGAAATCTTTCAGTAGCACAGAAACCATTTGTTCCGTGTGAGAGGGTGCAGAGCTGGCTGTGTGCTCCCCTCTCCTGGTACGGGAGCAGAGCGGTGTCAGGAGAGCACGGTGCAGCTTCTCTGCTCTGCTGCTCACCAGCCAGGACACACACAATTTCATTCACTTTTCCAACACAAAAGTAAGGGAAAGTTGTCACCATGCTCTTCCAAACTGAAAATACACGAGCTGTATTAACAATTCTGTGTCGATGGGAAGCTGTGGTTGGTAATGCGTATGCGAGGAAGAGAGATTGTGAGAAAAAAAATGCAACAAATTATCAAAATAATCAGCTTTTATACAATGAAAAAACTAAGTGATATATCATTAGCATTAGAGAGAATGTGGATACAAGCATCTACAGCTTTTTAATCCTTTTTTTTACCTAAGTGGCCAACTGCACTTCAGGACTGAGCGGCTCACTTTTCTGGTGGAAGTTTTGTTTTTGAGGGCAAATATCTGTGACAGCAAACATGGAGCACTTTGGAGCAACAGGCAGCAGCTGAGAGCTGCTGTGGAGACTGGCCTGGTGCATGTTCTCCCAGCTGCAGAGTGAAATCCTTACCTGAGAGTCATCTGTGGATGTTCTGAGCTGCAAGCCAGTGCCCCAGAAAAGGCATTGCCTTTTAAACTCATTTCTTACACTGAGGATGGGTAGAGTTAGGGTGTGCTAAGGCATGAAACACCAAGGTGAGTACTGGAATAACCTGCTGCAACACATGAACAAACACAACTGTGTCAGCAACTTGCCTACACCACCTACTCTGATGATCCAGAATGATGATCTTTTATGCTGTAAAAGTCATTTGTGGTGGATACAGCTGAAAATAAAATGCTCCAATAAAGTGCAACAGCCAAGCCACTGCAGTTTTGATGGAAATACAGACATAACATGAACTAGTCTTCATCCTTGGGCTGTTTACCAGTTAAACCAGTATCAATGGTGCAAAGAATTTTGATGTGACAATCTCAGTCTCCCCATGTGTGAATTGCATAAAACCAATGTACTTGGTTGTTATATGTAGTCACTACTTTTAATTTATTCACTCTTCAGGCTTAAATAGAAAATTAGTATTTTTCCTTACAACTACTCATCTTTTCTGGAAAAATCAGGAGCTTCACTGAAGTCAATGGAGTATGAATGGTATATAATAACTTGTAAGTGCTGAATCATTAAATAGCATTTAATTGAGCTGAGTAATAAAGTCAAGAATGGGATCCTATTAAACTTTATATATCTCCTTGCAACGACTACAATGTGAAATGTGTTCAGTTTTCTGTAGTCTGAGCTGCTGTTAATACTGGAGAAGATGGTGCATGCTGTATTTTCACTGTGCCTATTCTCACTGCCTCCTCATTGTGCTAAAATTATGTATGCCTTAGACTCTGGGAATACCTGGTCCAGGTAACCAGATTGACTCTGCGACCTTGTGTCATGCACTGTGACTGGTGCATTTTGATTTTTACAAATTGCAAAAGGTGGTTTTGCTGATGGGCAGGATAAGCAATAGTGCAACAACTTAGTTTTTTTCCAGTATTCCAGAAGTAAAAAGGCAAAGTCCGTGCACAGTTCAAGACCTGTGAGCCTGGACTCTTTCCTCTGAAACTCAATGTTTTGCAGCAGCAACCAGAAAATGACAATAAATAAGATGGTCCTTGCCTTAGTTACCATACTCTTAATCTGTCATAAACTCTGTAATGCTCCAGTACTTGCTGGAAGAGAGGATGAATGTTCTATTGCATGAGCAAAACTGTATGCGTTCTAAACTATATATGTTAAAAAATAAACAAATTAAGTTCTGTTTTCCCTGTATTCATTTTTAATAGTATAAAGCAGGTAGATCTTTTTCTGATAATATGGTACACTGACTGCTTTTATGCTCCTGTTTGCACAAAATC